TGTTGAAGGAAATCGTAACTGAAACACCGGAACAAACATCATGAGAATACTGCATCGAATCATTACTGTAATCACATACAAATCAGGAAATGCTGGAAGGGGAGGATTTAAGAAAAATGCTCTCAGAATTGTCTGTTAATCCTGTTTTGGGAACGGGTAAAGTTTTATGATTTCAAAAGGAGAGTGGACTTGAAAAGGGTAAGGCATATGAGATGTAAAGAACTCAGTCATTGTTGAAAGCTCGAACAAAGAGATAATCAAGTCATCTGGGGTGTTTGAAGCGTAAAAAAATTTTGCGAGGCATATCAACTGCATTACAGTATTCATCAATGAGTATACACAGATGAGAGCTGAAGGCACTATCAAAATAGGAAAATTCGAGTGTAAATTGAGAATATTATACAAACACGAAGTCCAAAAACCTACTTGGACATACTTTGAAAAGTGTAGAGGATTGTAATAACGCAGCAACTGGCAAAAAAAGTAAAGTGATTTTATGTAATGTGGGTTCGGTCAGACTGCGCGGTGTGCAGAGTACGCCAAGACCCTGCCAGCGCTCACTTAGACACAGCGATTTGGGCTATTTCATGTGGTTCCGTAAGCAACTGGAGTTCTAAGCGGTAACGTCCATACTCCGTGCCGGCGCCACCGCACATGGTATATGGCTCTGCTTCGTTGTGATGGTTGGTGAAGTTTGCAGTCACTAAGGCGCGCACGACGAATTCGCTGAAGATAGTTTCGAAAACTCGAGGTTCTTCGTTATCTTTCGCGTACAGTTTTTTGGTTCCAGGTAAATGCGCCATTGCTCAGGCTTTCCAGCCTAAACAGTGCTGACGAGAGCCGCGTATACCATCCACCAACATTTGTGAATGCGCGGCCCATTGGCGATAAACCTCACCGACCTTCACTATCAGGCAGAACCTCAGCCTCGGTGTATATGTTGTACGCTGCGTTCTTCGCCTACGCAGCGCAGTCTGGCCGAATCCTCATTATAAAAAAAAAGATGATAGAGCAAGGAGAATGTATTGATGATGAGCGTCTGGGGGACGCGCACATGCTAACCCCCTTCGTGCTCTTTGGCGCATCTTTTGCAAACAATTCGACCTGACTCTTTATGACTGGTTGGAAATCCAGATCGGCTGAGTTGCGGAGCACAATAAGAGCGTCGCCAAGAAAATTTGAATAAAAACAAAATTGCAGAATTTGTTTGTGCCAAGACGCGATAGCGCCAGCTTTACGGCAAACACAGTTTGCTGCGACATTGCAGTGTTACTTTGCCTAATTTCATGGCCAGGCGAGGCAGATATAAAAGAGTGATCCTAAATATTATAAGAGATACCAGTGATGTGACCAGACTCAATCATTATGATATTTTGTATCGTTGAAG